TGCCTTGGCCTTCTGAGTGCTGGGATTATAGGTGTGTACCACCAAGACTGACTTTTTAAAAACAATTATCTGTTTATCTGTTTTATCCATTTTGATTCATTAACCATGTCCTTCACTGTGGTCATCATCCTTGTGTAATTAGTTCCAGCTTTTTTTTTTTTTTTTTTTAGAGATTTAGTCCTCTGCTTTGTCACTTCCACAACTACCATTTAAGAAAGTTCAACTGGGTGGCTTTGGTTTTTTTGGATGGCTTTTGATTTCTCCCACCCTTAATGTCCCCTGGATTTGTCTCAGGTGAACTGGAAGTCTGCAGTTACAGCATGTTCTTCTTTTATTTTTTTATTGAGAAATAAATATGAATGAGACAGTTTCACAGCTGATTAATAGGACAGTTTTGATAGTCAATACACTGTACATTGTTATCTTCTTAGTGGTTATCCATAGTACAAGAAGCAGACATACAGCATGCTTTTATGTTTTTGCATTTTCTATTTTTTAATTTGTTTTCTGCATTGATGCTTATAAGCTGCTTATGCTGGGTAACTGTATTACTAATATTGAGATCTCTTTAGGAAATTGCTACTTTTCAGAGATGTCCTCTATGTGTCGTTGGCGTTTGGCTGTTAAGTCTGTCCTAAGATACTGCCTTTTTAATTTACTAGGATGAGAGGTTGTTGCCTATTTGGCCTAGCACCCAGTTCTTTAGTACTGGACTATGGTATTGTTTATGACCCCCAGCCAATCTTGCTATTGGCACACAAGAAAGAAAAAGTGATCACAACAACTTTGTCACCTTGGCTAAAGGAGTACAATTAGTAGTAACAATAGCACCAGCACAGTCAGGAAAATAACAAACTGTGGTAACTGTTGATTTTCTATCATCAGCCATAGGTATTAGATTTACAGTTATATAACAAAATCTAAAACAAATCAGAAAGTTATATACAGTAGATATCTACTCATTACAGTGGATTTTACCTTTAAAGGAGAACGTTTAAAAAGGATAAGAGGAAAACAGAAATAAAAGAAGAGAAAGAGACTAAAAGCAAGGCTGCAGGACAAAGGGAGATCACTCAAGCTTTGGAAAACTGGTGAAGACAGAAAGAAAAGGAAGAGGGAAAAACCAGAGAGAACACCTAACCAACAAAACAGAAAAACCCTCTAAAAACAATATCCACACTCACTGTGAACACTGCTCTGTTTCACTGGTGCATTTCTGCCTGAAGGCCTTGGGAGTCACCTGCCCTTACCCTGGCTCTGAGCCTCCTCTTTTGTCCCATAAGCCAGGAGTCAGGGAGAAAGTACAGTTTTTCTCCTTTCTTTCTCTGCACTGAAATCTGGCTCTGCAGTTTCCCTGTGGGTTCCAATTTTCCCTTTAAAATCTTCTGTATCCTGGGGGTCCATCTCCTTTCTGCTTTTCTTTCCCAAGTTGTTATAATTCAGGGTCTGGATTCTGAATCACAGAAAGGCTGATTGGTTGCTGTTTACTGCTCTACCATCTTCCTAGAAGTCTAGCTGTTATTTTTGTGTAGAGCCTGGTGTGGGGTCTCAGAGTGGGTCCCCAGGGATGAATGACAGTCTCCTCTTCACTCCCTCCTTTTGGGATGGGATACATTTGGTCTGTTTTGTTTTTTGTGGCCAAAGTCTAGCACCTGTTTGGATGGCTGACTTGAGGAGAGCAGGGGATTCTTGGGCTCTGTCTGTGGCCCATCTATGAGGCTAAGCATTAGAACTTACCTATGGGCAGGGGGAAGAACTCACCTATGTCCATCTACATCAAACATATGAATCTTATCAAGAACTGGGATGCAGGGCCGGGGAGATGGCTCAGTAGGATAAGCGCTTGACTGGCAAACGCAAGGATCTGAGTTCAATCCCCGGTTCTGCAAAAAAAAAAAAAAAAAAAAAAGAACTGGGATGCAGGGCTGGGGAGATGACTCAGTGGAATAAGAGCTTCCCTGGCAAGCGCAAGGGCCTGAGTTCAATCCCCAGTTCCACAAAAAAAAAAAAAAAAAAAAAGAACTGGGATGCAGGGCTGGGGAGATGACTCAGTGGAATAAGAGCTTCCCTGGCAAGCGCAAGGGCCTGAGTTCAATCCCCAGTTCCACAAAAAAAAAAAAAAAAAGAACTGGGATGCAAGGAATTATGGGAATGGTCCAACTGAAACTAATGAAGTGAAGATAGAGTCTATGTATGGGATATTTGTAGAAAGATGGGGAATGGGGAAGGTAGGTACACAAACCATGAGGTAGATAGGCTGAGTCAATGATGGAGAACAGTTTAGAGACTGAGTACCCCAGTTGCAACCCAAAGTGCCCAAACTGATATTTAGTTTAGAAAAAAATCTCTTATCTGGTGCTTGGCTGTTGGGGCAATCTGGCTCATGTGGAGACAGAGTGGTCTTTCTGTGCCTGCTGCAGCATACATGCTATAGGTTCGGCACCACTGGCCAGTATTAGCCCTCCAGATTGGGTGGTGTGGTTTTAGTGCGAGAGGAGAGGAGTCACTAGGTTAAATGTAAGAGTAAGGGCAATATATAGGTATTAGGTGAGATATTAAGTGATATTAGGTGAGAGAAGGCCTGTCTCCTGCAAGACATATTCAAACATTTTACAAAGGTCATTTGTCTTTCAGAAGCCTGCAAGATAGATAGTATTCCAGTTAGACTAATAAAGAAACTGAGATGTTGAGAAATTAAATCACACACTCAAGGTGATTCAGCTGACAAATATGGGGGAGTTGGGTTTGGAGTTGTATCTGATCACCAATGTACCTCCCTATACGTCATCCATGTTCTTAATCGTTACAATTAGGTAAACTATTTGGATATCAATTCCCGACTGAACCTAGGTCAGACAGACAAGAGATGGACCACCAACAGGAAATACAGCTGAGAATCAGAAACTAGGCAGACATGGGGGCAGTTTGAAGTAAACTGGGGAAAGCTCACCTCATCTACAGCGGGAAATTTTTTTTTTTTTTTTTTTTTTTTTTTTTTTTTTTTTTTTTTGACTTTTTTTTTTTTTTTTTTTTTTTTTTTTTTTTTTTTTTTTTTTTTTTGGTGGAACTGGGGATTGAACTCAGGCTCTTGCGCTTGCCAGGGAAGTGCTTATTCTACTGAGCCATCTCCCCAGCCCCATTATAAACACAATTTTTTGGTACTTTTTTTTTTTTTTGGCAGAACCAGGGATTGAACTCAGGCCTTTATGCTTGCCAGGGAAGCACTTATTCCACTGAGCCATCTCCCCGGCCCTACAGTGGGAAATGTTGACCTTCTAAGAAAAAACGGGAAGTAGAGATTGAGCTGGAAATGTTGGGGAGGTCAGAACTCAGCTTTGAGCTGAATGATGAGGAAAAAAGAGGCCATATGTGATAGAGGAGAAATCTAACTGCTAAATGTCATTTGTACCACATGTGTCCCCTGAAATCCAACGATGAATTTTAAGGGACAACAGAGGTTAAGAATAGGACACATTTATTGAGAGTTAGCTCCTGAGAGACAGAGGCGGTCCTGAAAGTGAGGCCCTTTATCAGAGGTAAATTATTCAACAGAGTCACAACATGGGTGAAACATGGGTCAAATTACCACCAACCTATAAGATTATAAGTATAGTTTTTTAGCTAATATCCATCCAATAGGGAATCAAGTCATGTAACAAAGGTAAATGGAAAGAACAAAGGCAATTTTTGAATGGATGGATCCAAATATTCTGGTCACCCACTCACTTGGGTGACTGATGCCTCTCTGGACTTACTGGACCAGGTGGTGCTAACTATAATATAATCTCAAGTTATTGTTTATCCCTTAGGAAGGCATGTAGGCCTGGCCATTGCATTTTTACCTTTTTTCAAAAAAGGTTATTTATTTGTTTGATACAGGATCTTGCTACACAGCTCAGACTCGTAGGGATCCTGTTTTCTCAGTCTCCCCAGTGCTGGGATTACAAGCATGTGCCACCATGCTCCGTTTCAAGGCTGGCACAGTGTAGCCGTGGTTCCGGGGCTGGCATGGCATGCAATCCTGGTGATTGAGCCCAGGTCCTTGAGCTTGCCAGGTAGGCACTTAGACTGCTGAGCTATCTCCTTGACCCCTGCATTTTTATCTTTTTTTTTTTTTTTTTTTAACTTGAGCCATGTATATTTCCCAATTCAGCACAATGAATGTTATTTTTATCCTGCATCACAGAATCCACTAATAAAAACATCCCGTAAAACCACCTGAAGGCCGTGTAGACAGGCGCCTGTCAGGAGCGAACTGTCTAAATCTGGTCCCCCTCTCCTGATACCTAGTTACGCGTGCCCAATATCCCAAGCCCCAGGGGATCTGCAATCCAGGCCACTTCTGATGCCGTGGATTCCGGACAGGAGCTGTCATCTTGGCTCTGTGGTGCTCAGCTGCAGCCCGCGGCAGAACTGTGACGGCCCAGTGATAATGCTGTACCTCAAGCATGCGCCTGCTCAACAAGCAGAAGGCAGCACTTCTGAACGGCTGAGGAGTTGATGCGAGGGGACGCACATCACGAACAGGTGTTGCTTTACTCTGTACTTTACAGGGGGCAGCCCAGCCCTGGTGCTTGGTTCCTCTGTCCTCTTGATGTCTGTGCCAACCACAGCGCAGGTGGCGCAGTCTGCAGAGGTCCCCGTGCCCCAGGCCTCAAGCTGTGCCTACTTGCATCACTAACAGCTGTGATGGGCAGCAGGGCCCTGCAGCAGACACGGGTGTTGGGCACTGTGCTGGCGGAAGGGCAGCGGACCAGGCCAACGTCTGCCCTGGCCTCGTGGTCGGGCTGGTCAGGTGGCAGAGGCTGCAGCCTGAGATGCGTCCCCTACTGGAGGCTTCTCACCAAGAGCCCATCCCCTGGGCACTGTAACTGAGAGCCAGCTGTTTTCTGAGGCAGTCACCCTGGAATGACCTCGACCTTGGGAGAATCCTCAACTTCCCAGTCCAACCTAACTAGGGCATTCCCTTCCATGCTACTGAGAAAACTGACATGGGAGTAAAGGGACAGTCACAGTGTGATTTTAATCAGGTTCCAGGATGATGAGATGGTTCCCAAAAGTACTGGCAGATGCAGGGTGGAGTGGGAGAAGCTTCCAGAAGACTCTGCTGGGCCTACTTGGTCCAGCTGACTTTGGGGATGTCGTAGTGCTCGGTGAGGGTGTCCAGGTGCCTGTTGAAGTCCTCCACACGCTGTTTGTGGGTCTTGGATGCTTTCTTTAGGATCCGTTCCATTTGCCGCTTCTCCTGCATCTTCTCGAAGGCCGCCTGCGCCGGCGTCCGCTTGTCCAGGCAGCGCCGCTTCTCTTCCTCGTTCTTCTTGCTCGTCCCCATCGCCTCCAGGAGCTTCGCCTTGTCCTTGTCTTTCTTCTTCTTCTTCCGCTTGGTCACGCCCAGCTCGGCGATGCCTTTCAGCTTCAGGGGCCCCTTCTGGACCTGCTCGTAGGCCTCCATAGTGCGACCCACAGTCCCGGAGCACAGGGCCACACTTCCGGCTTGCCTGCATTTTTATCTTGAGGCCTGAACTTAATATGTGTCTTCCCCCACAATTTTGATTTTTTTTTTTTTTTTTTTTTTTTTGTTTTTTTTTTGCAGAGCCAGGGATTGAACTCAGGCCCTTGAGTTTAGTTGCTTTTTATTAATCATTAGTCTTTGTTATTTTTTGTCTTTCCGGCCATTAAACTTTGTTTTTTTTTTTGGTGTATGGGATTGAACTCATGACCTTGCGCTTTCCAGGCAAGCACTTATGTCCCTGAGCTAGCTCCCTGGCCCTCTGAAGGTCTATTAATTTTTATCTAACTTAGCTGTCTATAACATAGGGACTAGAGAATGAGGTTGATGGCCTAGAGCTTGAAAGAAGGAGCATGAGGATGACATCTGGGCCAGCGAGTGGACTGACATGCTCCAACTCAGGCAGAGTGATTCTCACTGGCATAGCAGCAAGCTGCACTCCACCAAGAAACCAGGTGGAAACTGCAGCTCTCTGCCACCACCTTTTCTCTCATGAAGGTGTTCCATCTCCCATCCCATATTCTGGGTGGTGTTTTCAAAATGGTGACTCTTACAGTAGCCTCCCCTTATCTGTGGTTTTGGTGGTTTATGGCCAGCTACTTGTGGTCAATCTTGATACTGAAACTTATTTAAATATAATGTTTTAAGGGCCAGGGAGATAGCTCAGTAGAATAAGCACCTGCCTGGTAAGCGCAGGGTCCTGAGTTTAATCTCTGGTACAGCAAAAAAAAAATAAATAAATAAAAATAAATATATATAGATAGATAGATAGATAGATATAGATATAGATATAGATATAGATAGATAGATAGATAGATAGATAGTGTTTTAAGAGAGACCATACCCACATAAGTCTTAGTTACTTTTCTTGTTGCTAAAGCAAAACACATGACATCCGAAGTTAAAGAGGGAAAGATTCACTGAGCTCATGGTTTGTAAAGGTTTCAATCCATACTTGATTGGCTCCAAGGCGGGGTGGCACACAGCAGGATGGCAATAGTGGATGGTGGTGGAAGACAGGAAAGGCAACACGAAGGAGTGGAGACAAGCACAAGCCTCTCTCTGCCCCTTACATTGTATTCATCCTACCAAGATGAGGGCGGTGTGAATCCAATCAGTGGACAGAGTCAGTGACTGCCCACCCTTAATCCCAGCATTGCACAACCAGTCCATCATACACTCTTGGTTTAGCCATGTCCAAAAAAGCCCTGTGATTGAATGAGGTGTTGGGGGCTGGACATCTAGACACAAACCAGGAAGGATAGCCATATATTGTTATACTACTTATATTTTATTAGTAGTTGTTAATTTTACAGTGCCTGATTTATAAATTAAATTTTTTCTCACAAGTATAGATATATAACAAAAATCATAATATGTGCTGTATAGTGCTTGGTTCGGTCCATTTTTTCAGGCATCTCTGGGGTCTTGGAGCATGTCCTCATGGATAAAGGAGGACTACTATCATAGACTGTGAAATCAATTTAGCAGGTGTGACTAAGATTGATAAAAAATGGAAAGCAACAGTACTGCACATAATAAGGGAATTTTTCTTTTTTAGTGTGTGAGCCCAATTGCAATGCAAAATGGGTTTCTTGCTAGAAGTAGTCAAATCAAAACAAAACAAGTCACTGCTGCAGAGTACTATTCTTCAGAGATTTCCCCGTCATCCAGCTAGTCCACCATGGCATAAAGGCAGTTTTCCCTCCATGCATTTCTTATTGTCATGGGCTAGTAATTAGTATATCCTCATCCACAATAGAGGATGCAGCCACTGTCTAGCTTAGTGAAAAGCTTGAATTAAATTATATTACTTTAAAAGAACTCTGGGTTTATTATTTTCAAATACAGTAAGTAGAAATGAGCTAACCAAACTGTGGCCTGGTACACCAGGGTGGGTTTTGCCTTGGTGAATAGACCAGAGTAATTTGTAATTGACATTTCAAAGAAGCCTAGGAACAGGCCAGCCTTTGTTTAAATCATAATTACCCTGTTTGTATGTAAAAGGACACTTCTAAAGCTTTTCAAAACAACTGGTTCTTTTAAGTAGATAATTATTCCCCTTCCAATCTTGTTTACACTATTCAGAACTTCAGTGAACTCTTCCCCCCCATAGTACAAAGGTTAACTTCAGCCAGTCTTTCCTCAAATTATCACAAATTCCCAATTAGTGAATTCTAAACAGGGTTTCCCTGTAGCAATATGCCAAAGCCTTGTATGATGTGTTCTCCATTGCACTGAATAACATCTGACAGGTTTCCAAGTACTGGGCCACCTGGATATTCTCTACGTGTCAGGACCATGTGGTCAAAGAGGTTGAGGGGGTGGGGGCACTAACTCTCTGGTGAAAGAAGACAAAGGGAGAATATACATTTTAAAAAATTTTTTTTTTACATATCAGCTCAGTGCTAAGTTGTTTTTGTTTTTTTCAGAACCGGGGATTGAACTCAGGCCCTGGCCCCAAATAAGGATTTTTTTTTTTTTTTTTTTTTTTTTTTTGCTCCGAATGCCTTCAGGGCAGGTTTGGCTGGCTGGAGTTGTGGGGATTGAACCACAGCAACCTGAGCCTGACTGCTTTGTCGAAGCAGCCACTTAAAGAACAGAGCTAAGGGGCAGGGCCCCTCAACACTAAGTTATAGTCACTTTTCAGCACAGAGAAGAGCAGCATTAAATACTTCAATTTAATAAAGCTATAGGTGAAGGTAGAAAACAACTTTTTGCAGGTGGATTGGAAGTTATTGGAGAGGCCTGGGGAAGTTGACAAGAGAAAGGTGCATTATAAATAAAATATTTATATTTCTTCTCTTTCCTGTTTTTTCTTTTTCCCTTTCCCTTTTTATTTTTTCTCCTTTTTTTTTTTTTTCTGCTGGGGATCGAACCCAGGGCCTTGTGCACGTGTTCTTTTCCCTGAGCCCCAGGCCCAGCCCCGAACAACTTATTTCTCGTCGTAAATTCCCATTGTATTTACAAAAGGAAATGTGTGTGAGATATTTTTTAAAAACAGAATTCTATCATTCTTGGCAACACTGTTTTCTTGTTCTTTTCTTTGCTAAGTTTGGACTCTTTCAAAGGCAGTCTGTTATCCTCCCTCATGACAGGCGCCTGCAGTCTGTAACGGTTTTTATTTATCAGGGTCCTCTGTCACCATAAAGTTTCATGTGTTCAAACTCTCGAGTTAGCAGTGAAAATGCCAGGCAGGGAGCCAGCTCTGCTACTAATTAGTATAAATCAAAAGGGCAAAGTGGGGAGATAAAAGCCAGGTTCCAACAGAAGGGTCTACAGCCAGGGTTGGAGACTGACTGGCAGGTCTGTGAGCTAAGAGACAAAAGAGTTTGGAGAAATGCCACTCGGGTTGGAGTACTTGCCTCCTCTTGCCACTTCACCCCGTCAGATACAGAAGAGGCCTGTGTAGCCCCCATTGATTGTTTTCCTTTCTTCCATTTTATCAGGTCCTCATTTTGTTCCATCGGCCCCCTCTCTCTTAAGGGACTTTGAATAAGGTTCTGATTGCGCTAAGCCAATCCTCTGGATAATCAACCCTCTTGTCATGAGAAGTTCAAGCAGGGCTGTGTCATCTTCTTCTGAAAAAAGAAGTGTGCTGGTGAGCACATTCCCAGAAAAGTGTCTCCAGGCTTAAAAAAACACATGCAGAAAAGAAACCGTCCTCTTTGGTGGATGTCTGAGTCCACGCATGATGGCTGCGACTGTGATATGGAGCTGTGTCTCTGAGGGCACTGGTCTGGATGTGACAGAATGGAAATGGGGACAAGACCAGGTCCTGAGGTCACAACTTCTAGGACCTTTTTACTCTTGAGCTTCCAGTAGGCAAGGTAATTCTCACTGTCTAAGCATTACTAGTTAGCTCTCCTGTAGCTTGCCGCTGGCACTGGCTCTTAATGCTCTTATCCTCCATGATTTCTCGGCTCTTAGAGTGCCTAGAAAGCATTCTGTAAAACTTAAGTTGGTAGAAACACAAAACATATGCACAATTGTCCCTCTGTATCCACAGGGGACCCTTTAGATACCAAAACCTATGAGTGCTTAAGTCTCTTATATAAAATGGTACAGTATTTGCATGAAACTTATGCAATCCTCCTATATATTTTAAATCATGTCTAGTTTGTTTACAATGCCACATACAATATGAAGACTGTGCAGATAGTTGTTATACTACATTATTTAGGGAATAAAATCTAGAAAGTCTGAATATGCTTTACCCACCCCCGGTATTTTCTGAGTTGGTTAAATCTGCAGATGTGGCTCCTGATGGATGGGCCACCTACACTCCTTTGCTGGTTGCCTGGAGCTTTGCCTGCGGTGCCCGTGATGTCTGGACATTTTTGTGTGGACTGCTTCTTCCCTTTCCTTGTCTAAACTCCCACTCTGGTGCGGGGGAGATTGCTCAGTAGAATAAGCGCTTGCCTGGCAAGTGGAAGGGCCTGAGTTCAATCCCCGGCTCCGGAAAAATAAATAAATAAATAAACTCCCCCTCTTCCTCTCATTCTCATGGCCTGGCCACTCTTACCCAACATTACCTTCGCCAGATGTTGATCACAGTAGAACTATTTTGCAATTGGAGTTCCTTTTTGAGAATTTGGACTTGGGACCAGGTAATAGATCAGTTTCTGTCTGGGTGGTTGGATCTAGAGCAGATTTCAGGGTCTACGTTTCTCTTTGCCTGACTCCATGGGTTCTTGTGTTTTCTGTCAGAAGAACAAACAGAAACATCTTGGAACAGAAACAAGACTCTGGAATACATGGGAGAAAGCCATGGGGGCCAGGAACCTTATGATGACCCAAGCATAGGCCAAAGGTGTATAGCTTTTATGGCAGTGATGGGGGCAGGTAGGAACTTGGTCTCTTGATGTCATTGCACATAGAGACAGAGTTTCAGTTGTGCCTGTGCACTTCCTCCTCATGCTTCCTTGCGTAGTACATGTCTCATTGCGATTTTTTTTTTATTATTTTTTTTTTATT